TACCGGCTCGCCTGGTGCGTTCCAGCCTGAGTTAGCATGATGCCCGGTCGTCCTCTGGTAAATGTTCGTTCATTGGAAAAATGCAAATTTGAAGGAAGTCAGAAGAGGATTATGAAATCTGCAAAATGCACTCGCTTTTGAATTTGCGATAAAACTGAGCATTTGTCATTTCTGCGTGCATGGAATTTCACCACCAAACTGAACTAAAACCAAACGTGAATATAGAATAACCTTGCAAGGTTTCAGCCTGCAGCTTTTCTGGTAAGCGAATCGTCTTCACTAAAACGTCATAATTTTTTCAATTTTTGTGCGTTTTTGCTGTGCAGCGAGCAAAAACGCATATTGTCGAGAGATTGTCTGTGTGTGAGTGTGTGGATGTGTGTGTGTATGTGTGTTCGCAAGCGAGTGAACTTTACCACTCATTTTCATTTCAGCAACCAGGAAAGCCGGGTGGCTGAAATTTTGGGTATTTGTTCCTACCCCGTGTGTCGTCCTTCCATTTTAAAATTTGCGCTCATACGCGCTTAGAATTCGTGTACGCCCCCCCCCCCCGTCCCCTCCTCCTCCACCCGAAAAAATATGCAAATTTCTTTGGCGGAAAACGGTTTCGCGAACCAGGCAAGGTACGAAGCTGGAACTTTGCAGAGATATTCTCTGTGCATGTGCGAGCTGAATATTTCAAATTCAGCTGTCGCACACGTTTGTGCAGCGCGTAAGATCACGTCAAAGTCTGCAACTTGTTACTGTGCTAACTCAAAAGCTTGCCGAAAAACAACGGCTGAAATTTTGTCAGCATGTTTGTAGCCAAAATAGGAAATCGTATACTTAAATGAGTGCCGATTTGCACTTGCGCCATAACTTAGGGCAATTCAGAGATATTTGTAGCGAAGTGGCTATTTCGTTTACCGGATAAGATGCGAGGCTGAAAACTCGCTGGGATATTCTACTTTCAAGTGCGATCTTAATTGTGCTTTGAAGTGAAATTCCCTGCAGGTGGGTACGATAAATAGTTAACTTTACCGAGAAATGAGAAATGAGTGCGTTTTGCAGCGAACGACCGCTTCCACCCCTTCCAACATGTAAACGAGCTCATTTGCATATTTGGATTTTCTGATGATCGACCGGACCTTATGCATAAAACTGATAGTCATGTACCTGAAGGCCAACACTGTCCTATAGTGCAACACCTTCAGTCCAACCGATGCTCTTTTCCCTGCATGCCGGAAGAGGCTAAAGCAGGGCCAGTGTGAGTTCAAGCGTTAGGGTAAAACGCAGGGATCATTCCTACTATTAGCGATCTGCAAGATGAATGCAAAAACGCGTGATCGCACCGGCAACCCTGGTGCATTCCAGCCTGGGTTTTCTTCCAACTATTTTTTCATCTTTTCGTGAATGTAAACTCATGACAGATGGCATGCTCTCTCAAATTTTCAGATTTATTGGTTTCTTAGTTCCGAAGGAGAACTGTATGATTAAACTAGCACACCGATACACAAAAAAACGTACACATGTAACCTTGCCAAATGTGTTTTTGTCTCAGAAGTGATGTAGAGATGTACATCGTACGCCGATTTTTCTGATGCAGGGCTTTATAACAGACTTGTGAGATTACGCCATTTTAAACAGCTTGCAGAGTGAACTAACTAGAAGTGGTAAAAAGTTGTAACCTTGAACTACCTCATGTACAAGACACCTCCTGCTACATAACAATTTTCAGGTACCACTGTGATGGGAAAGAACCAGAATGGCAAATCCCAGATATCGATGCAATTGCAAACGGTGACTGGCAATACAGAGGTAGGACCGAACATGAAGTTAACTGCCACATCCAAGATCTACCAGAGAATGGAGCTGATATTGCTCATCTCAATTATCTGCACTTGGCTGGTGTTAATAAAGGTGACAGTTTTCGAATTATGCTACCATAATTTTTTAACCTTTTTATACATTTTGCGCTGCAACAGCAGTGTAAAAGGCCTAAATAGATTTATGTGAATGAAAGAAATGCAAAATCAGGGAGACTGGAGAAGTTGCCAGCTGCACCAGTGGCGAAAAAATGCAACGATGGTGCAGGTATTATTGATTGTTCTGGCATGCCAATGACGTCTTGACAATATGAGTTTTTGCATTTGCATGAGATGCAAAAACGCACAAAATCTGCCTTCCACCCAATCTAACGTGTTCAAGCTCAAAAATTTCAGGTTGTACTGCTACTGCTTGGTGCAGTGAATTCATTTTACACGATTTAACAGAAGCACAATACTGAGCTGTTTAGGCAACGACATAACTCAGATTGAGATGGAGAATCCAGAGCCCACAGTCAGGCACGTGTGGGATGGCCGCTGGGAACAACAGCCGGAACCTGACTCGCATATCGGTGTAATGTATTTGGAACAAGTGATGACCATCCTGAAAATGCCGATACCGCTAACAAGAAGCAGTCTACAAGCACGACAGGTAGTGTAGTGTATGGCATGGCACTTTCAGAACAGGTTCGACCAGAATGACAAACAAGGGAGGATTTCTTTCATGCGAATAAGTATTTCAAGTTGATTTTTATGCGTTTTTGCTGTGCAGCGCTATAGCAGCGCTATAGCGCTGCTACAGCCAGCAA